GGAGAACTACAAATATTTAGTCTGTGGAAGTCCTCAATAAATGTTTGTTTTTGATTGTGTCTTCAGCAACTCTTACTTTTTCCACTGCTTTCATAATATACCTGAACTTGAGGCCACACATGATTTTGATTGGAAAAAAGCTTTCAGTGGTCATTTGATGACCATTAGTAATCACAATTTTTAGTTTTACTTCTTTAAAAAAAAAACACTTTATAGCACTATTTTCCTCTACAAACGAGGAATCTGAGGCACAGAGGGATTTAATAACTTGCTCAGACAATTAATAATGGTAGACCCAGAATTTGAACCCAGATGTTCTTACTGTGGAGCCTATGCAATCCACAGATTTTTATTCTTCAGAGTGATCCTTCAAAAGAGGTGTTTTGATGAATTGACCTTTATATCCCTACTAAATATGAATTTCCCTTCTTGACCTCATCTAATTCAATGTAAAGGAATAAAATACAGTTGATCTTGTGGTTCTTCTTGATTGCCCTTTTGGTGAACCAAAAATGTGTCCTTACATTTTAATTCTTCTTAGTCCTTGCAAACAGGGTGAATAACATAGAAAAATATTGCTTCTCTTCTATGAATAGTACATTCTCTGGACTAGTTATCCAGGCTTCATCCTCTGAACATTAATTACCACAGCTATATTTTAAAAATAATATGAAGACAGCAAAGTGGAAGACTACATATACCTTTGCAGTATAAATCTAGCCACACATGTTCTATGTAAAGAGAAAACATTTATGAGTATTCTGAAGGAACATTTATATGCTTATAAATAACATTGCTGGTTTACTTTGCTTAGAGTGAATGCTGGAGGACAGTTTTGTAGTCTGTGCAAGGATTCAAGATGGGAATCATCATATATGCCTGTTAGATCAGTAAATTTCTAAAGTTGTATTTTGCATATGGGTGTGGCAGTTTCCAGAAAAATACTGCTTCCTTCTGGTTGCCTGCATATTGTCAGCTTTTAAGAATCAAAGCAGATTAAACTTTGCTAATATGCTTCATAACTATTTTTCAAAGTTGGGGTTTGTCCCATTTCTCTGGAAATTCATACTTGGGTTTGTCCTGAACATAACCACTGATAGACTGTTTAGCACTTACATAGGGTTTTTGTTTTCAGGATTTCATAATCATTGCCTTTTAATCCATTTAATACCCCTGTGAGGTAGACAGATATATTTAAGCATCTAAGTTTCCTGTGGGCAGATTTCAGTGCCAGCATGAGTATTGTGATTGGCCCTGAGTTTCATTAACTTCCCAGAGGCCAGACACCTGGAGAGGCTTTCCTCCAGGTCAAGGTCCATGCCCGTGTGTCAGCCACAGGGCACTGCCTCCTACTCCTCTTCCTGTTTTGCTAAGATTCAGTGACTGCATCTACCATTAACCACAATGCTCTGCCCACTGTGTCTGTCTGCATTAAAGCCACTCTGAAAGAGTATGTTTTGAAAGATTCTTAGGGAACCCAACAAACATTTGTTCTATAAAGCTATGGTTTTTCTAGTAGTTGTGTATGGATGTGAGAGTTGGACCATAAAGAAGGCTGAACAGAATTGATGCTTTTGAACTGTGGTGCTGGAGAAGACTCCTGAGAGTCCCTTGGACTGCACGGAGATCTAATCAGTCAATCCTAAAGGAAATGAACACTAAATATTCACTGGAAGGACTGATACTGAAGCTGAAGCGCTAATACTTTGGCCACTGATGCGAAGAGCCGACTCATTAAAAAAGACCCTGATGCTGGAAGAGATTGAGGGCAAGTGGAGAAGGGGGCAACAGAGGATGAGATGGTTGAATGACATCACCAACTCGATAGACATAAGTTTGAGCATACTCTGGAGGATAGTGAAGGACAAGGAAGCCTGGTGTGCTGCAGTTCATGGGATCGCCAAGAGTCAGACTTGACTTAGCGACTGGACAACAATGACAACACAACGAATTTCAACTATTTACACTCCAGTCGAGTGTAAACTCCAGCAAAGATACTTTTCATTCAGTAATAACACTCATGGCTCCAACTAAGTACTTAGATTAATAAATGAGCACCAGAATTTCTATTTTAGGAGTCTGTAATATATTCAGGTAGGCAAAAGGTATGTGTACCTAATGATTCAATCATAAACATGGTATCAATTGAAATATAAAGTTGGCAGTTTTATGTTGTATGCTTATTTGTACCAGGCTCTGTGATAAAGATAATACTTGCATTATCACAACTTTGTGATGTAGATACTATCATCCCGGTTTACAAACAATGAAAACCAAGGCTAGTAAGTTGACCACATTCATAGAGCTTCTGACTCCTAGGTAAAAGGTAATGTATAGAATCTTAAAGCTCTAGGGCAGTACACAGCAGAGGAGTGGTAATAATAGAGTGGAGTATATAATAAGGCAGATTTTAACTTGTTTATGTATAAAGTAAAACAAAACCACATAAAAGAATTGGTTTTACACATGTAGTAATTTACATCTTTTTACCTTTCTCGGCACTTTTAAACTTTTCTAGCACTTGCTTCAGTGAAAGTATTTGTATGTTTTCCTTTCCACCTTGTTGATAATTTCTTGAAAGGGTGACTGTGTCTTATTTATCTTGTAATTGTACATATTAAATAATGCTTAATACCTTAAATCAATTGGATGCTCAGGAATTACTCAATAAGCTTTAGAAATTAGTAGAGCTTTTACGCAGAGATAAACCAATGCACCTAAGGACAACTTATCTTTGACAAAGGAGTCAAGAATATACAGTGGAGAAAAGACAGCCTCTTCAATAAACATTGCTGGGAAAACTGGACAGCTACATGTAAAGAATGAAACTAGAACACTTCCTAATACCATACACAGAAATAAACTCAAAATGGATTAAAGACTTAAATAGAAGGCCAGAAATGATAAAGCTCTTAGGTGAAAACATAGACAGTACACTCTTCGACATATATCACAGCAAGATCCTCTTTGATCCACCTCCTAGAGTACTGGAAATAAAAACAAAAATAAACAAATGAGACCTAATTAAACTTAAAAGCTTTTGTAAAGAAAAGCTTTTGCAAAGGAAACAACAAACAAGATTGAAAGCCAGCCCTCAGAATGGGGGAAAATAATTGCAAATGAAACAACCAACAAAGGATTAATCTCTGGAATATATAAGCAATTCATACAGCTCAATACCTGAAAAACAAACAGCCCTATCAGAAAATGAGCAGAAGACCTAAACAGACATTTTTTCCAAAGACATACAGATGGCCAATAAACACATGAAAAGATGCTCAACATCATTAATTATTAGAGAAATACAAATCAAAATTACAATGAGGTATCACCTCACTCCAGTCAGCAAAAAATATACAAACAGTGAATGCTGAAGAGGGTGTGGAGAAAAGGGAATCTTCTTGTATTGTTGGTGGAAAAGTGATATAGCCTCTATGGAGAACAGCATGGAAATTCCTTAAAAAACTAGAATATAACTACCATATGACCCAACAGTCCCATTAATGGGCATATAGCCTGAGGAAACCATAATTGAAAAAAGATACTTGTACCCCAGTGTCCATTGCAGCACTATTTACAATAGCTAGGACATGGAAGTAGCTTAGATGTCCATTGTCAGATGAATGGATAAAGAAGCTATGGTACATATATATACAATGGAATATTACTCTGCCATGAAAAGGAATGCATTTAAGTCAGTTCTAATGAGGTGGATGAACCTAAAACCTAGTATACAGAGTGAAGTCAGAAAAAGAAAGACAAATATCATATATTAATGCATGTATGTGGAATCTAGAAACATGGTACTGATGAACCTATTTGCAAGACAGTAACAGAGATGCAGACATAAAAAACAGAATAGTAGACATTGTGGGGGAAAGAGAGGGTGAGATGAATTGAGAGAGTAGCATTGAAACATATACATTACCATGTGTAAAACAGACAGCCAGTGGGAATTTGCTGTATGATGCAGGGAGCTCAAACCTGGTGCTCTGTGACAGCCTTGGTTAATGGGATGGGATGGGGTGGGAGGTGGCAGGGAGGTCCAAGAGCTGGAGGGGACATGTGTATACCTGTGTTGATTCATGTTGATATATGGCAGAAACCAACACAACATTGTAAGGCAATTATCCTTCAGTTAAAAATACATAAATTTTTAAAAAAGTAGCAGAGCTTTTAATTGAAAAAGAAGTACCTGTATATACAAAACATTTAAATGAAACTAAAGAATCTCTCCTATTTAAGATTTATAGATACCTAGTTCTTCCCCATTATATGTTCCAGTTTCTTGTGGATCATTTCAGAAATATTCAGTATATGTATTTGTGTGTGTGTGTGTGTGTGTGTGTGTAGGTAAATGTACATTCACATTACACCTGAATTGATTGTCTTAGATTATGATAATTAAGTCCTAAATACAGAATTAATCATAGCACTATATGCAAAATATACTTTGATAATAAAAATCATTTATTAAATGCATTATAAAATGCATAAATGGGTAACTATGATTGTACATCTAAGAAAAATTTATGTATGGCTTTAACCATGTCCTTGAAAGAAAATACTAATATAAATAGTATGTAATTCCAATATAAGATGGTTATAATTTAGATGCTTTAGGGTTGCTAAGTTATATATGAGGGAAAATTAACTTTAGGAATTAGAGGTAAAGATCATGGTAAGATTAATATTTTCTTTGGAGTTTCTCTATACTTTCAAGTGTCTTTCTCACAACTGGTAAAATTTAAAAAGAGCCATTATGTATGAAGGAATGAGGCAGTATTTGGAAGAAAAGAGTTATATTTTGCTGTAGCATACAACTGTATTTTGTAAAATGTAGAAGATAATACTAGGTTATAATTCATCTTATGTGTTTCTGGTATAAATATGAGCTATGAAAAATAGTTCTTCATCTGCCAAAAAGAGAGAATTTGAGAACCTTATACATTTTTAAAAGTTAAGTTGCTAATTCTTTGTTTTTTGTTTTCTAATTGTAGGTTTTAGTATAAAAGCAGTGCCATTCCAGAATGCCATCTTGAATGTAAAAGAACTCGGAGGTATATCATATATCTTTTCTGTGTCTGACTCTGACTTCTAGGTTCATATTAATGTGTTGCATATAATTAAAACATGATGATGATGTATTATTCTAGGAGGTGACTTATTTTTACCTTTTCTCTTGATAATACATTTCCTAGAAATATTTTTTTTCTTTATATATATTTTAAAGGTAGTTGAAGAGTTCTAATTGACATAATCATAATGTATGTTTGTTTATGTAGTGCTACACTACTAGTGCCATTTCATACTCTATACTCGTTGGTTTTACTTCTCTGATGAAATTTATTCTTGAATGGAAAAAATGAAGAGAGTTTTAGTATAATCATAGAAAAAAGCTATACATTATGCAAACAACTGTATTTTAGAGTAGTTTGTATTCATATTGCAGGTTTTATTGCATTAGATCTTTTTAGAATGTGTTTGTTCTGATAATAAATCTTTGCCAATAGGTTCTTTGTTGGTCAAGCACATTTATTGGATAGGCTTTACCCCAAACTATACATCACTCAGTCTTTCATTGCACTCTCTGTCTGGGATTTTTTTGATTGTGTTTTATGTTGGTCAGGGTCTTAACCCATGTAAGTAGGTTAACAAAGGAATCAGTCAGTTCAGTGAACCTGCTAAGTTCTCTAATGGCATAGGAAGATGATAAGTCCTCTGGAGTTCAGTATAGTATGGGTGAGTTTAATGACTTAGAAGAGAGTTCTCTTCCATCTCTTTAACCACTTTGTGATATTGACCTTATTCTGTTTTTTTTTTTTTTAAGCTCATTCTGTGACCTATTATTAGATTGATGAAATTAAAACCCAGACCTTATGCCATCTTAATAGTATTTTTATGCCTTCTTATTTTTATGTAATGTATTGGCTGATCTTTCCAGGTTTACTTCTGTCAGACTGTTTTATAGCCACTTTGACTATTATAGTATTAATATTTAAAATAAACTGTGGTTGATAAATTCTGGTTTTTCTTTGACATTGGTTTTGTCATTTTGACTGAAAAAATGATAAAACATGAATGTTCTTATAATAGAAAAATTTTCTGTGCAAAAATTTTAAGACTTGTATTAAATATTTTAATATTACTTTGTGACTTCAGAGAACATAGTGTAAACATCCATGGAATCAAACTGAATGGTTTGAGAATTCTATTATTTTTAAATATTATTGATACTTAATATTATTATTACTAGGCTAGATGCAAAATTTTTATTAAATACCCCCCAAATGTAAGAAACTTGATGAATTAAGATGTTTATTATTGATGTTTACTTCGATGATATAAAAAATGTATAATGCATCTTAACAATTTTTCAAAAGTCCAGAATTTATTATAATCTTAACTGTGCCATTGAAACTCAGTACAATTCAAAAGATCAAATTAGAGGAAAGGGGTGTATAAGGTGGGAATCCATCTGTTCCCAAGCAGGGTTTAATTTTGCAGGTTGTCAATCCAGGCGAAGATTCTGAAATCAAGGAAGAAACTCAAGAAGATAGGTGTAAAGGTAGGCAGATACTAAGAGCCCAAACTGTGCTGAAATTCGGAATGCTCTGAAAGTTCTGCTTCTCCTAGGGTTAATTCAGGAGATTGGCCCAGCCCGTTTCTCCCTTCTGATTCCTTCTTCTACCCTTTTCACATGGTTCCAAGGCTTTCCATCACCTGCTCCTAACCTCTCTTATATTTCTTATTTCTTCAAAATAGGAAGAAGCGTGAGCTTGTGTTCATTATCTAGTAAGAAATGGTTTAGAGTGAAATAACAATGACTAATGGAATTAAATGGAAGTCACTTTTGGTAGATCTTACTATAAATAGCAAACCTTATGTTTATACACACACTGATATGTGTGTGTGTACTACCTAATTTATATTACAGAGAATTCTATGCTATTTCAATTTTTTCTTTTATGAGGATATTTCTTATATCTTGCACCTAAAAATTCCTGTAAATTTCATTCATAGCAATTTTCTCAAATGATGTTTTCCTACTGTTCATGCAGTCATTCTAGCACAATTATTTATGTGTCAAGCATGATTCTAGGGACTGGGAATAAACAATATTTACAGAGACCTGTGGTTCAGTGATAGAGACGTTCATGAAAACCAATATTTGAAATTAATTTTGAAAGTAATGAAATTAAGAGGGAAGTAAATATAAAGGATGAAACAAAGAGACAATCCAGCCTGGTGGTATGATGGGTGAGTCCTGTTTACACTATTTTGAAAATGACCTGTTCTCCTCGTCTTACCTGTCCCACTCATCAGGCTGTACCGATTACTCTAGAATTCTAAAATTTCTTCTGTTTTTTCTCCGCATACACTCTCACTTAATCTTTGCAACTTCATGCCTAGAGAGTAGATGCTGTTATTATCTGACAGATAGTGAGACACAGGACACCTAGACACAGGTCAAGTGGTTTGTTCAAAGTTAGTTGGAGAAGGATTTCTGGGAGTTGATCTGAACCCTTGCGCTTAACCAGGGTACCCTGTAACTGAAGTATTTTGCCCAGTGCCTGGCACAAGAGAAGTGCTCCCAGGTGTTGTCTGCTGCTGTTCTTACCACTATTATATGAGCAATTTAAAGTTTTCACATGTTGGTATTATTTTCATTAACACATGTGTGTTGATTACACATGAACACTCCACTCTGCTCGAAACTGTAGGATGTTATCCCTAATCATTGCAGCTGCTTTTATTATTCATTTTCTGTCTTACTCTCTTTATTTAGCAGTCAAATCAACTCTTCCTCCATTTTAATTGTGACTCTAGTGCTGTAGTCGTGCTTTCCTCTTCTGATTTCTTCAAGACTGCCTTCTGAAGCAGAGTCTTAACTTATTCTAGGTAGTTTCTAAAACTTATAGAATCTACCATAAACTTGTCATTTTCATACTCTTTTATTTTTTCTAATTCAGTTAACAAATATTTATTGAATACATATTATATGCTCAGGCCAAGTTCTAGAAAATGTTGGTGGTTATAGTGTCAACACAAGCACAGTCCCTGCATAGATAGGCTAATCAACACAAAGGGAGACTCTTAACGTGAACTAAACTTCTCTCCTTGAATTAAAGCCAAATATTTCTTATAGGCCTAAAACAAAGTTCTGGGTTAATCCCTTCCATACTGGAAGGAATTCATTTTTTTTTAACACCATCCAGTTCTGATCCCTACAGAGGTCATTCTGTAGTATCTCTCAGTGAAATTTTTTTTCCTGCATATTCTTTAATTTGGAAAGTCTTTTTTAAACTAATCTATATCCTTTCTCCTTCAGCTTTAATTAATTACTCTGCTTGTCTTGTTCTATTATTTTTATTTTTCTGGATGTTGTGCAAGACACCAAGGAGGATCCTGGGTAGACAGAAAGATTAATCTTTCAAAGGTTTTTCCTTCCTCCTGGTGACTTGTTTCTAAGCTCAGCCATTCTCTGTGGTTCCAGATAAGTCTGCTTCCCTGTATCTTTGTTTCCTTACCTATAAATTGTAGTACTAATAGTCCCTATATCATGTAATCCTTGTGAGGACCAAATTAGTTAATGTAGGTCGAGTACTTAGAAACTGTCTGGCCCTAACATTTCTGGAAGATTTACTTTTATTATAGTTATACCCTCACTCCCTCACACCCTACAATTTCAGTTCAGTTGCTCAATCGTGTCAGACTCTTTGCTACCCCATGAATCGCAGCACGCCAGGCCTCCCTGTCCATCACCAGCTCCTGAAGTTTACTCAAACTCATGTCCATTGAAGTTGGTGATGCCATCCAGCCATCTCATCCTCTGTTGTCCCCTTCTCCTCCTGCCCCCAATCCCTCCCAGCATCAGGATCCTTACACTCCACAAAAACACCTTTGAATAATGCCTTTTTCATCCCTAGTTCTCTGAATATAAAACAAATCACATATGATTTTTTTCCTTTGTGGTCATATCTCTCTCCCGTATATGCATGGTGTTCTATCTGAAAGTCACTGAAAGGGACCTCGTTGGCTTCTTGGTTATCTGCCCAGCATATTTTTTTGCCACTGCACATGTGTTAGTAGTAAATGTTTTTGTCCTTTTCCACCTAATCACCATTTTTCTCTTTTCAGATTCCACCAGAAAAATCTCTTGTCTGTCTTAGTGCCTCTCAGTTGCTTTCATTCTGTTTGACTTATGTATTTTAACCACATTACTAAGGTAAGCAAAGCATCTGGCGTTTAACTGAGTTGGACACAGTAGTCACTGCAGTGACATCATAGCACTGATAATTTTTCATCTTAGAAATGTCCAGTTCTTAAATCTACAAATAGATTTTTATACCTTCTTAGATGGCTTTCTCTTGATTCTGAAATTTTGTTTACAAATTGATAGAATTCAGAGAGGAAAATTTTCATCTCTTAACACATTTGGTTTGTTACCACTTATTGATAAGGATCCAGACATCATAATATTGCTTTTTCTTTCTTGAACTGAATTCTGGAACCAACCAAAAAATGGTTGGTTTTGCCAAATGACTTGCTTTCTTCCCTTTAATATTCTAATGAGTTATGTCTGAATTGTTTCCCCACCCCCCTCTCTTGGCCACACTCCCCACCCAAAATACTCTTTGGCCATCTTATCTTCCCAGTTGACTTTGGGGAAGGCAGGGCAGAGCTAAAAATCAGTGAGCTATCTTTCACACTTCAGGATTCATTGCTGTTAGTTGCCAATCAAAAGGGAAGATAAGAGGATTTTTGTTTGCACTTTCTTTCCTTGAGAAGAAGGCGGTGAGGGTAGTATGGAAAGTGCAAGTTGTGTTTATTCACCCATTTACTTCAGCCCATGCAATAGTGACTGCATGATTTTTGAGGGTTGTCAGCTGAGCCATGTTTTAAAGTCCGCTTCTCGTAGCAGCCAAGCTGTTATAGGAAACAGATGTTGACTCTGTCCTGTGTCTTTGTTTGCCTGAAGGAGCACGCCTCCTCATCGTGAAAGGTGCTGTTTCTTTGTATCCTGCTAGTTATCTTCTGGTGCTGTTAATCTGTCCAG